CACTCTGTTGCGACATCTCTCGGACCCCAGCCAGTAAGTCGTGAAGGACCAACAGAACTCAGTCCTTTGCAGCTTTCTTTCATACCCCGACACCATGTCATACATCGATCACCTCCCCGCTTTTCCCAACCAGTCCCAGCGTTAGCAAATAATGCACGACGTGGAATGCTCTAGGACGACATTCGGAGAACATGTCCAAGCCACTGAAGTCGGTGTTTCAAGATCGTGACACCAATTGGATTATCGTCCCTGCGCCCAAATACACGATGAGGAACCTCTGCATTACTAACATGGTGTTACCACTGGATGTCAGCAATCCTTCAGAGACAACGATGATCGAACACAGAGAGTCGTCTAACATCCTCAACTCGGAGAGGCCAGGTTTCACAAGCATAGAGCAAAACTCCTTTCATCGACGCGTTGTAGATCCGACCTTTTACAGCCAGACTAACATCACGAAGGCGCTAAAGATGGCCCAGATTGGCATAATCCGCTCTGCCTTTCACTATACGTGCATTGACCTCATCACTCACGCCACCACCAGCACTTATACAGCTACCCAGATACACGAACTTCTCGACTAATTCTATCTATGTTAAAAACATAAGCAACACAAATATATCACATGAAGTCAGTCGATTGTGAGCAGCTGATGAGAACCTAACGAAATAAAATGAATTCATATTATTCTGCACCAATCTTTGTTCTTGCTCTATTTAAGATAATAAAGGGAACTATGTGTATGAAATTTCTCAAAATGCGTCTCCCTGCACAGTCATTCAAGTCACTGAATCGCCTGGTGACAATACGCTGCAGAATATCGAGAGAAATAACTCGACTAAAGTTTTTTGATGAATATCTCAAGTCATGCCGTTTCCCACGTCAGTTCTTAAAGTCTTTACGCTCATTTAAACTTCCGCCTTCTCTTAAAAATCTTCGACGCATCACAAAATCTCACATTGAATCAACAAAGTTACTGATTGAACGTTTGAGGGCAGAAACTAATGCCTTTGATGAATTAATCAACAATCTAAGTATCGTATGTCGCATAAAATTTATCAACTTTATACAAGATCTGCAAAGCAAAATATGCAAGAATTTCCACGTAACTTTGTCAAAGACTCTGTCAAAGGAAAACTTATGTTTTGGCTTTCCGGAAAACCCCGAAAAGTTTCTCTATAATCTATCAACAATGAAGTTAAATCAGATAGAAACAGAAGCCTTGTCACTTGGATTTAAATTTCATATCCCCAAAACACATGCCGACAGAATCGACACAGAAACTCAATTTGAGAATTTATTTGATCAAATTAAAGAGCTGCACCCAGTTAGTGAAGAAAAGAAAGGCTGGTTTAAATCTAAACTAGTCGATATTGCAAACCAATATCTTGTTTCACCCGCACCACAGTCTAAGCTTTTATCCAAAGACCACCAAACAGCATTACGAAATATTAAACGAAATGACGATATAATGATATTACGGTCAGACAAAGGCTCAAGTGTTGTTCTAATGAACAAAACAGATTATGTTTTAAGATGAAGTCCATCTTGAATGACCATATGAGATTCAAGTTAGAAAAAGTAACAAAGACTTAACTGATTCCATTGAGAAAAGAATCACCAAAGTACTCAGAGATCTTCTGAAAAAGAAGATGATCGATAACTCTACTTACAATAATCTACGACCTCGTGGGTCTCGTTTGCCCCACATGTATGGATTACCGAAAATACATAAACAAGGTTATCCTCTTAGACCTATTTTGTCAATGATCAATTCACCATACCACAAAGTTGCACGATGGTTGGCAGATAAGTTAGAACCAGTGCGTCAACGATTAGCCACCTATACACTAAAGGATTCATTTGTATTTGCTGACAGCATGAATCACATAAATATTGCTGGTAAGTTTATGGTTTCTTTTGATGTAACATCTTTGTTTACAAAAATACCACTTCTTGAAACCATAGACATAATTTGTCAACATTCTGACATCCTACCTCTACCAGTACCAGAATTCAAACGACTATTACTCATTTGTACAAAAGATGTTCAGTTCCAGTTCAACGATATCATATACAAACAAACCGATGGTGTAGCGATGGGAAGTCCGTTAGGTCCTGTCCTAGCAGATATTTTCATGGCTAACCTCGAAAGAACCAAACTCAAACGAGCGATTGATGAAATGACGTATTATTCGAGGTATGTTGATGATACCTTCATCGTATGTAATAATAAACAACATGCAATAAATCTGCTAGAGTTTTTCAACGAAGCACATCCGAATATCCATTTCACTATGGAACATGAAAAAGAAAACAAGTTCCATTTTCTCGATATCGCGATGAAAAGAAGAAAGGATGGTACAGTTCAACGTTCAGTTTATAAGAAAGACACATGGAATGGTAGTTATCTTAATTTCAATAGCTTTTGTCCAATCAGTTACAAAAAGGCACTGGTCAAAACACTGTTTTACAGAACAGAAAGAATATGTACTTCCGATACACTAGAAGAGGAAGTTATGAATGTTAAAAAATGTTTAAAGAATAACGGATACCCACTGAAATTTATTGAGAAATACGGCAAATGTGAAGATAAAAAACCGAAAGAAATTACAGCAAATAAAAAGCCTATTTTTATTCAACTTCAATTCAAAGGTGACGATGTCACAGGATCAATCAATATGAGACTAAAAACTGCACTGACAAGAACTTATCCTGCAGCGAAATTGATTGTCCTGTCCAAAACAACATGTTCTTTGACACAATCAAAGGTCGACAGGTATCCCTTTCATGTTACCACCAACTGTGTATACAAATTTACATGTACCTGCCAAAGCAGTTACATTGGTAGAACAGAAAGGAGAGCCTACGTCCGATTCAAAGAACATATTCCGAAAAGTTTAAGGTTAAATGGATTGAACGCATTCAACAGTGCTATCGCAAGACATCTCCTTGATACAGGACATAAAGCTGATATACTGAAGTCCTTCAAGGTGATTAACAAACAATCAAACTCGAACCTTTTGAAATTCGCTGAAGCGTTAGCAATCAAACGTTTAAAACCAGATCTATGTATACAAAAAGAGACAGTAATAAATCTTTCTTTACCCTGGTAACAATAACCCCACCCTTTCTATTCATTTGCTCCTATTTATTTATTTATTACGTCATTATTGCAACTCTTTCTGAAATATAAATTACATCATACATAACTGATTGATTTCAATTCATATTTTCTTTATTACCATTAATCTATTTTCATGAGTTCTAATCACTATTTCAATGTTCCAGAACTTTCCCTCTCTAACTTTATTTATTTATTCGAATCAAACATTTTATGAGCTCATTAACTCTATCTGAATCTTTGCTTGCTACATCATCATACACATGTATTGATCCTTAATCACACTCTTATGTATAAATATGTCAATATCTGTAATAATGTTGAATTTCAAATAATTTAGGTTGTAAGCAGCTGATGAGAACCTAACGAAATAAAATGAATTCATATTATTCTGCACCAATCTTTGTTCTTGCTCTATTTAAGATAATAAAGGGAACTGTGTATGAAAAGAAACACAATTTTCCTGTTAGTTACTCGACTGGATATTGGTCCTTTCAGACAATGATATTACATTAGGTTGGTTTTCAATGGTAAGTACTTTAGTTGTATGTTTATGCAAATGATTGCACTGAAATTGCATATTGAACATATAACCTTTAATAAGATGAATCAAAACTCGTTGGACTGATATTTTGAACTTTCAATTTATTTATTTGAACATATACATACGTATCTGGGGCACCAGATACATATGCGCCACTGATACGGAGGGTACACACCTACGGGAAATGGAAAACCCTGATTCCAAACCAATGGTGCACATGGACTACAGGATCCTGAGTGAACAAATGGCGTATGAACGTATTATTGGTCACCGGCTACCATGGAATTGAATCCCCTGACGTCGCTCGAATGCCTTGTGGATCAGACCTTTAGGTCGAAGGCTCCGGGTGTGGCCCCCTGAGAAAACTATCTTCTTCGGTCTGGCCACCCGCATAGTATCTGGTCGATTCCAGATATTACCCGCGGGCCCACGTACGTACGTACGAAGTTATACGTTGTTGATGACTGACGTGGGTAGTATCAAAGCTCACAAACAAATAAAATGAAAATCGCACCTTCTATGTAATATATTATGCCCATCTTGATATTATTCGAAGTATTATAAACAAGTGAATATTGTATTAGTATTATGGACAGTGAGAGCATCAGTTTAGTGAAAAATCAATCATCAATAAAGTATAAAACACTTCGATTATATATTTCCCGAACATTTAACAGTAGATACAATAAACCATAAAGTTTAGAAACCATCAACTTTATGATTAATACACGCAGGATTCTTAGATCCGTAAAATTGAATATAATTGATATCAAACCTATTACAGGAGTAATGCAGTAGTTTTAGTATATACGATTCCAAATAGTAACAAAGAGGTATATATATAAAGACATTGCAATGATAAGGAACTGGAAAATATAACAGAAATGATAGTAATAGCATATAGAACATTATTACATTCATTATTTGTAACTAGATTAAATGTTACTGGGCAACAGTAATTGATTCTGATTTTTAAAAAAACCCCACCAAGATATAGATATAGCCAACAAGTGGAAAAGTATTCTCATTATCCCCATATCGAAATACATGCCATCAGTATAGGTGAAATAAGACAAGATAAATGATAAAAGAAAAAAAAACAACAAATGTAGAAATGCAATAAATGAGATATCCTTATTCAAAGATGATAAAATAACACACTAATTCATTTCATAACTGATAATAAACTTGGCAAAACAAACAAACAATTGATGAGACGGACAATAATGACAAAAACTAAACCATAGAAACAAATCCACTGACAAATTTGATAGGATAGTAGATCTATAAAATTTATACATAAGATAATAATAAGAATAATAATAAAAATGATTAATTTGTATTTAAACGAGCAACAAATGTATCTAAATTATATTCAGTTTCATAATAGGCTTCAAGATCATCTAATAAAGCAAATTGAAGATTTGTATGATTATCTTTAGTTACTTGATTGTCATTAGTTGTTGTTGTTGTGGTTGTTGTTAATCGATCAAATAAATGTTCTGTATCCATATCATTTAAATTTTTATTATCTGATGTTAATACTGTATTAGCTAAATGCAATTTGAATGCTTGTAAATTCATAATTTGCTCTTCTATACTATCTTCAGTAATTAACGATAAACATTAACTGTACGTCGTTGACCAATACGATGAGCTCGATCCATAGCCTAGGGATAATTAACAATTTAAAGTTTCAAATAAATCTAATATATTGCAAAAATAAAAGATCAACAGGAAAGAATCAAATTCAGCTTCTTGGCTCTCTGAGCTAAGATCATGTGTAGTAATGTTTAATTGATTTATCACTGTATACTAACAATACATAGCTCCCAAATGCCCTGGTAAGGCCGAGAGTAGGGAGAGTCAACTCTCCATTTCCAAATGCTCTCAAAAAGTCACGCGCATACAACCACTGACAGAGAAGTCCTGAACACTGCGTTCTCGTGACATTACTGTTGTTTACGAAATTCAGTGGATAAAAAGTGAATGTCTGGCGCTTTACCCGGTTGGTCGACCTGGAGAGTTGGAGCATCTTTGAAGTCATCTCTACGTCTGATTTCAGTGCTTCAGCAGGTACACTGTCTGATTCTGCTGCCGATTCCTTCCATTGTTAGTGGATTATGGTCTATAGAAAGCTTTTTAGTGTTCCTTTGATGTCCAGCAGATCTAGTAGAACTGCTCTACTCAAGAGTTGTTCAGAGTGCTTCACTCACTTCTCTTGTTCTTCAGCCTCAATGATTGGCTTGCCTTTTTTATTTTTTTTAGTTCTGGTTTACTATAATTTCTAGTCAGTTGTTCTATGTTTTCTTTCTCTACCAGCTTTTCTCGCTGTTACTGCTGAGTCTTACACATATTTCTGCTTACCCGTCACACTTTTCCTCTTCACTCGTTTATTGGCCTCTCTGTATTTAGTCTGTGCTTTGACTTTCTCTATGAGGTGGGTGTATATAGTCCCACCTATATTCATTATGTTAAAAGCACATAGATTAGCAGAAAATATTTCACTATTTCCGTTCCCAATCCATATCGTATCATTATATCTTCATAACCAGTTTGTCCATCCTAACTTCGGTGTTCAGGTATTCTAACATGTTGATCAGGTAGTTTCCTGGACACTTCTCTACGGTCGACTCTAGCCACTTCTCCATAAAATTGACCTTAATCGTCTCCACTGTTATTATTCGTGAATGCATAGGAATGGGTGACATTACTTGTAATCCTCTCCTTCTCTGTCTTGAAGAATGTTTCGATGGTTCTGAATCCATGATATTCCCATGCTATAAGTGCTTTTCGTGCTTCTTTGGAAAGCATCAGTGCAAATAATTGTTTGTGTGTGTGAAGCATTTTCCCTTCATGATCAGAATACGATAAAAGGTATCCTGAAGTCAATCTCTTCTGTCCAGATTGTTTCCAATAAGTGCGAAGTTTGATCTTATCATTTCCACAACCAATTGAATGGTTTTCTCTCTGTCTCCCAAAATTCGCATACATTTTGTGTACCTATATTCATTGTTGATCCAGTTGTTAGAAAAGTCATCAGCCTTGTGACTTCCAAACAATATCGTCTTTTACTATGAGGTTCTTCTAACTTTTCTAAATGAAGATTCTTAAAATCCCATGTCAGGGTTTAAGTGATTTTACTGGCTAGCTTTTTTTACTAGGGTTCTTTTGTACGGAAGGCGTTTCTAACTCCGTGTCCAACCCTTCCCCTTTATGTGAGCTTTGGACGGGCAGTAACTTTAAAAGACTCGGTTATGAAACACGAGACACTAGTCTGATTCAGAAACATTCTGTAAGCTATGGCAACCAAATGAGTTTTATATCTAACCACATGGTCTATAAAAAGATGACATTACGTAATGGAACAAATCAACATCTAAAAAAGTTAGTTGTTAAGCTTTCTGTCTACTACATACCTGTAAATCTTTACTCGGATTCCAGTCATGTTCCACAAAGATTACAGTATCTGCACCCGTCAAATTTAACCCTAGTCCACCAACAGCTGTTGTCAATAGCATCAAATCGATCGATGGATCTTGATTGAATCTAATTCAATGTGAAGCAGAAAACAAAGAAAGATAAAATTAGAATGAATAGTTGAGATTTCAGTTTACTGTGCTACCTGAGTACAATTTCATGGTTTGGCATGGCAAATATCCACATAATTGATAGAGGAAATGTCAGTGAACAATAGGTCAAATGGATATAGGGATAAAAATTATTTCATTAGAAAAAACAGGTTGAACAGTCTTTGACCGATAAACTTATCTGTAGTCACCATGACGGTTATCACTTGGCCTAAAAGAGAGAATCAATTTAAACTGTGGTTGCTATCTTAAAGTTAAGCATGCTTATTGTGATCATTCAACAAGACTGATTTAACTGAAACGATTTCTTCATAAAATTTCGATGACTTAGGAGATTGAGAATTTCACTGAACACCGGAAAAATAATGACGACACAACATTTTCAGGTTTAAAAAAGTGCGGAGATTATTTTCATTGAAAAAAAATATGAGTTTTACAAATAGTAGCAATTTGCAAATCTGGACAAGGATTTCAAACTAAATTGTTCTCTCTAAAAAAAGAACAATGTAGCTAATGTCAAGGGGATATGCACACACACATACACACACAGCTAGCCAAAACCCATACGAAAAAGCTCCTCAATATGAGTAAACTTTTTATTCCAAATAACCATCCTGCAAAGCGTTCTATCAAAAAATGTCATCTGAACCACATGTGAAGAAATTCGAACACTGCACTTCTACCCAAAGTTTGTGTCGATGATGTTGTTCAGAAGAACGATAAAAGCTCCACGACTGTACCATCTATCTCAGAGAACAAAACTGTCATCAATTAGATCTTATTAACTCACATTTAAATACAAAAGGATGGGAACAGTGAATTCACTGCATTATCATTAAGAAGTTCGCTTTGATCATGCATTTATTACTAACACGAAATCAACATTATTACAAACTATGCTGTTTCGTTTAAACAAATTTCCAATTTGTAAGATGATTGGAATGCTGTTATACATGCAACTGTAAGTGTTGTAGCAGTTGAAATAGTACTGACAATCAAATTAAAGTTAATGTTATTCCATTCCATGTTGATAATTATTTCGAACTTCTGATAAACATCAAACAATACTGAATATAGAGATTTTAAAATCGTTAGTCAAAATCACATGACAACCAGTAGCAACCAATAGTAAACTTGGCTGATAAGGTCTGTATATGTATATTGTATCATATATATATATATATATATATATATATATATATATATATATATATATATATATATATATATATATATATATATATACTAATAATAGTAAGCTTAATAATTACAACAACAAAAAACAGAAACGTTTATGCTATAATCCATCATAATAGATACATGCATATTGAGATATGGAAGACAAAAGGACACATTACGCCGAGAAATGGAGACAGACATGAAAAGAATGAACAAAAAGTTGGATAGAACTAGAAAGGAAGGCAGAGTGAGTTGGAAAATGCTGGTCGGCGGCCTATGCTCCTTTAGCGAGTAACAAGCGTAAGTAAGTAAATTAAGTCTGTGTACATTATGCTCGCTAGAAAATGTTGTATTTACGGAAGAATTTGAGAAGAAAAAAAGAACGGAAAACTTACCTAACCACACGATTGTGTCGTTCATTCACCGGTACAGTACCATCTAATCGTGTAGCAGTTATCCATGGAAATTGTTTTCTAAATAAAATAAAGCATCAAGGTTCGTAATAATAATTATTATTATAATAGCAACCAATAAACATATGATGTTCACTTCAAATAAACATTCAATGGAACAACGATTTCATTTTAAGTCGTTTAACATTTAAAAAAAAACAATTTCTAAATTAACTTTTGTTCATTTGAATGAAGCTGGATTGATAATGACAATGTTTGATCAATAGATCAGCAAAGTAATAAATTAATCTTAACATTCTCATAACTTACGTAACTAATAATAAACTTACAGTGCGTCAACAATAATTCCATAAAAGCACATAGTGAACTAGTCAACTAGTCGCCTACACAATTATCTAATCGTCAAGTTATAATCAAAGTTAGAGCAGGAAGAAAGAACCATTTAGTTATTGAAAATATAACTTCAAAGAATAAATAAATGAAGTTAATCAGTTTGTGTTATATCTGGTTATCACAAGATGATGGAACATAGCCTACATTTAACATATATTTTTGTGTGGACCCTTATTTGTCTTGGTGATTTTTCATGATATTAGATTTGTATAGTTGATTTTTTTAGATCTTCCTCTTTGCACTCAATTTTGTAAGTTAAGGCACTGGATAATTAATTACTGATCTCGTTTAATATGCTAAAGTCTGAAAATTTGCGTACATGAAATAATGTTTATTCATTATGTTTTATTTAAACATTTAATTAATGAAGTAAGAGTTCTCGATAACTAGTATTTACAGTGAAGATCTTCAGTAGGGCACTTCAAACAATCACTACTTATTAATTGTAAACGTCGATTTTATTACAAACAGAAAAAACGTAGCATCAAGAAAACTAATATACAAAACCCGAAAGCATAGTGATTCCCCATAACAGTTAATACAATATCTCACTGACAAAGTGATATATATATTTCAAATATAGTTTAGTTGCTTAAAAGATGAACTGGCGGTGGACACATTGTTTCACGATAATACTAACTAGCAATCAAGAACCAAGAAAACATTGCTAACAAACTGTCAGTTACGTGAAAAGCTTGTCCCGAAGTAGGATGAAACAGTTCTTCACTGCTTCCTGGTTTACGTTGATTGTCTAAGTAGATTCAATCCATGATGTGAAAATGGAAGTTCAACCATCTCTAAAACACTATAAATACATCATTTTTGTAACAGAACGCATGAAAATTTAACATGGAAAAAGCAAAAGCAGTGTTATTTACTTCAGCATTTCTCCAGTCAATTGTAACATTTCACGTGTTTGAAAGAACATTAAAGCTCTGTGTTGACTTAGTAGACCAGGATAGGAATCCAAATAATGAGATGAAGTCGACGTCCCAGACGTTGACGACAAAGTGTTACAACTATTACCAGCATTTGTGCCATTGATTGAGTTTGGACTCCCGAAGCCACAATCAGTTAGAAGACGGCTTAATTGATAATTAAAAAGCATGCAGAAGTTAAAAATATATCAATAACGAAAAGTTATTGGAGATAAATTGGATACCAATTTCTACAATTCAGTTTATAGAAGAAATTTTGTTTGCTTCCACAATCAACAAAGAATATAAACTGCCTCAAACAGTATAGACTGAAATCTATATACAATTGAATAGGGATACGAAAACTGAAGTTTTCAAGCTACAAATTACACCTTATACGACCAGATGAAGGGCATGAATTTGATGTCACACATTTAATAGGCTTTACACTCTACGAATAGTAGAACTCATCAATGAAGAGTAGCTTATTACCATTTAAAGTGAGTCGGATGAAATTTTGAATATTATGAAAGACAAAGACGACACAAATAGCATAACTATGTTCTGGTTACCTTTATTCAGAAAGTGATCTCATGAAAAAGTTATCATCGTCGTACCGTTATACAGGATGGATAAAACTAAGTGATGCTGATATTGAATTCTGTACAATGGGAAGTGTGAAAACAACATAATCAAGTTCACGGTAGGATTACTATACATGCGACCAGTTAAGTTCTCCCCGAAACTAATGTTTGACAAAAGTGTAATAACCTTAATATCTCAGTTTAGTTGGCGATAATGATTTTTGATCAGTAATCTAATAGTAATTCCAAAAGGGGAGACTGATGTAGTGACAATAAGAAAACCAGTTTGATAAGAGAACTGATATTGAAAACTGTTGAATATGCAAATAGGTTGATAATTATTGAAATTTTAGAGGAAAATAATTGTATCATTAATTATAACAATGATAATCACAATAATAAACAGAAACATACCATAAAGCCAACAGTTTCCCACTATAATCAACTGCTCTTAACTGTTCCATTGAATCTATGCATAATTCTTGTTTAATCTCATCAAGTAAAGGGTGATTAGATTTTAAAACTAAACACGGATGATTACAAACTGCTTGAAAGTAGCGCAAAGCATGAAAACCATGTGATGTAGAAACACAACCGAACGAGGAAGAACGACATTCAGAATAAAAGTCACCACTACTAGCCGATACAAAATTCATCACTTGTTGTCCTTCATCGGTTTTTTGAAATGATTCATACAGTTTACGCTGGAAAGGAAAATATTTGATATAAGTTAAGAAGTAAATTAAAAACATTCAAAGAAAAATAGACAGTGCATAAGACAAGAAGACAGTAATATTCGACAACTGATCAACACAGAATAAGCGATCATCATTATTATGTCAAGATGACAATTGGAGAAAGAATAACAAATAACGCCAGCTCAGTGGTCCAGTAGGTTAAGCGTTCGCGCGCGAGATTGAAGGCCCTGGGTTCGAATCCCGCGAGCGAGACCGTGGATGCGCACTGCTGAGGAGTAACACAATAGGACGAAACGGTCGTCCAGTGCTTCCAGGTTTCTAACGCTGATCTAACATCAATCGGTTCATGATCTCAATCAAAAACTTAATAATATCCACAACCCCTATACTGATAAATAACAATCCATTATAAACGAAGAGAATGATAATTACCCAACTGAACTTATCGTTTGTCAAGATCAATTGATAAGATTAAATAGGTGACTGCATGTCGTGTATTTTGAGCAAACACCACTTACTTGATAAGAGATTTCATTATAGTGTAAGCTAGTGAAAATCTCCCTATGAATTAGATAGCTCACATTTTTATTAGGATTTCGGACTACTGTAATCGATTTCAAAAAGATGAGTGTCATTGAAACCCTTTGGAATAAAAGCGACATTTGTGGAAAGGTGAGGAAGTGTTCAGGTTCGAAGATCCCAGACTATCTCATGATCATAATCAGTCTGATTGTATTGACATTTTTAGTTGGTTAGATCGTTATCAATACCAGATTTAATAATCAGTTTATATCTACTAAAACAGCTGTTCTTCTTCATTTTACCTACACTAACTAATACAAATTAAATATTTCATGCAATCGGTTCCCTTTATGAATTTAAATAAAGCAAGAACAAATATTGGTGCAGAATAGTATGAATTCATATTAAATAAACAAAAGACAAAAGAATTAGAACAAAACTCACTTGAATTGGTGTCATTTTACAAGCAAAATCTTGAATAATCTTCGGTGGTAAATCTTGCATAACATCCTCTTTTAACCGTCTCAACATAAATGGCAATACAAGTCGATGAAGTTTCTCCAATGCTAATTGACCTGTAATGTATCAAACAAAACAAACTGACAATCATTTATTTGTATTCAACCTAGATTGATTTGAGTCACAGAATAATGATCAACTTCAGAAATATTCACCGTTTGATCGTATCTATACCAGCATCAAGAATTAAGAAGCACTGAACAACTGTTTCGTCCTATTATTGTACTTCTCAGCAATGTGAAACAACGATCATGTCACAAGGGGGTCGAACTCAGGACGTACGCTCTTACGCGAGAACATGTACATTCTAGAACACTGAGTCGAAATCTAATGGTGTACATGTCTAACTTTAATCAACTTGCGATATCGCCTCTCGTGAACCTCGGTATACAAATATTTTTATCACGTTTGTAGATACATTAACAATAACAACCATCAAAGTTTTATAAAGCTATTTCGAATTCCAGGTTATCAGGAGTTACAATAATTTCCACTTTTTATCCCTTGAAAATCATCATAAGTATTATAGAATAGAATAGTTTCAGAGTTGTTGAACTGAGACGCAGAATGATGGTGTCAAGCACTTACATAATACATATAGAGTAAGACCACAACAGATAATGTTAAATCTTTTTGATGTTACCTTCACGCCTATCTATGTACATAACCGCATAGATGCTGTGAATTAGAATTAATAGAATAGGATTTTCATAAACGATGAATAGTAGGAAAAAATAAAAATTTTAAGTAATTCAATTATATAGTGGTTCAATTTATATAGAATACAGTCAACTACACTTATTATACAACCAAAGCTATTTGCATTATTTATACTTTTTGATAAATCAGTCACTACAATTTTTAAATTTACGTGACAATAGAATCAGACAGAATACCATAACTAACCTGCTTGTTGATCAGATTTAGAAGCTTTAATATCGCGACTAGCAGCCACAGGACGTGCGAATTTCGCTAAAAAATACTGTTCTGTACCCAAAAACTCAGGCATAAGAAAGTCGAACAGAGACCATAGCTCAGAAACTCTGTTCTGAATAGGTGTTCCAGTCAAGATGAGACGGTGCTGAGCAACCAAACGTTTTAC